ACCCAGACAGATCCCCAATCAACAAACCCGGAAAGTATTCAGTTAAGCCAAAAGAAACGGCCATGAGAATGATGGACATTGCAGAAACCCCCACCTCTGCTCACCAAGGGGAAAGAACTCCAGCCTACACCACAGGGCCGGTGGATGCCTCAGATGACAGCTCGGAGGGCGAACCCCTGGTAAGTGGATGCATCACACCCATCTTCAAAACAGTGACTATATTAATCCCCCCCATGCCCGAAGCCGTGAAGGTGAAAGCCTTAATAGACTCTGGCTGCACCCGCTGCCTCATTAGCCCAACACTAGTGGGGAATCTGGGCATCCCATCAGGAGACTGGAACAACCAATCTCATTTGGCCAGCTAGATGGATCCATAGCAGGGGGGGTGCCAGCTACCCTAGCCACTCTGCCAATACACCTCTCCCTGGGCAACCATGAAGAGGACATAACGTTTGTGGTGACCCCAGGTATGGAATGCCCAATGATTCTAGGGATGGAATGGTTGAAAAAATGGAACCCCTGGGTAAATTGGAGGACGACAGAAATCAAATTCCCGAAGGGGGACCCTATGGACTTAAAACCCCAAGGGAGGCTACCAGAATCAAGAATAGAAAAAGCATCCATAGGAGAGGAAAAAAGATTAACAGAAATACCAGAGGAATATAGGGACCTTGCTGAAGTCTTCAGTGAGGAGAGGGCGAATGAGCTTCCCCCCCACCGACCCACAGACTGTACCATTGAATTCAAGCCTGGGGCAAAACTCCCGAAGCCCAGATTATACTCCATGAGCCCAAAGGAGAAGGAGGAAATGGAAAGATTTATAAAAAAAAACCTGGAGAGAGGTTTCATTGAGCCAGCCAAGCCTAAAGTGGCTGCCCCGGTCCTTTTTAGAGAGAAGAAGGATGGCTCTTTACGTTTATGCGTGGATTATAGGGCCCTGAATACAATCAGTGAAAGCAACCTATACCCGCTGCCCCTCATGAAAGACATGCTGTCACACCTATCGAAAGGGAAAATTTTTTCTAAACTAGACTTAAGGGAAGCTTACTATCGCGTGAGAATCAAGGAAGGGGACGAATGGAAGACTGCATTTAACTGCCCCATGGGGTGCTATCAATTCAAAGTCTTGCCATTTGGATTACAAGGGGGCCCTGCAGTCTTTATGCAATTAATCAATGACGTTCTAAGGGAGCACCTGTTTAAGGGGGTCCTTGTTTACTTGGACGACATTCTTATCTTTACCGAAACAAAAGAAGAACACGTCAAACTTGTCAGAGCGGTTTTAAAGAAGCTGCGAGCCGCTCACCTATATGCCAAACTATCAAAATGCGAATTCCACCAGGAAAGGATAGACTACCTAGGCTATCGCATATCCCCACAGGGCATTGAAATGGACCCGGAGAAGGTCAAAGCAGTACTAGATTGGGCACCACCCCGCACAAGAAAGCAACTACAAAGTTTCCTGGGCTTTGCAAATTTTTACCGCCAATTCATCCCCTCATTTGCACAGATAGCCTTGCCCCTCACTAACTTACTAAAAACGAAGGGAACATCCTCAGTAAAACCTAGCCAGCCACTAACATGGACAATGGAGTGCCAAGCAGCGTTTGAGAGACTAAAGAAACTTTTTTCTGCCGAACCAGTACTAAGGCACCCAGACATGGACAAGCCCTTCATAATACAGGCAGATGCAAGTGATGTGGCAGTGGGGGCTGTGCTATTACAAGAAAATGATGATGCAGTATTGCAACCCTGTGCATATACATCCAAGAAACTCACGGAAACAGAACAGCGCTGGCCCGCATGGGAGAAGGAGGCTTATGGGATACGTTGGGCATTACTCAAGTGGCGACAGTTCCTGGAAGGCAACAAAATCCCTTTCCAGGTGTGGACTGATCACAAAAATTTAGAAGCCCTGAAAACTTCCAGGAAACTCAATCCCAAACAAGCCCGCTGGTCCCAGCATTTTCACCAATTCCAATTTAAGCTCAAACATTTACCAGGAAGAAAGAACTTCCTGGCAGATGCACTATCTCGCATGCCCCAATATAACAGCGCACGAACCACAGACTCTAGACCAATAATGGCAGAGTCACAACTGGCAGCACCAGTAACCACAAGAACCCAAGCCAAAATAAAACCACAACTGGACAGCCAAACTGGGATTGAATTCAGAAAAAGTTTGGAAACAGATGAATGGTTCCAGAAAAACAAAAATGTGTGCACAATGAGAGACGGGTTGCCTTGGGTAGGGGAAAAGTTATATATACCAACAACTCAAAGAGTAACTTTCATGCACTTTGCCATGACACAAAATCAGCAGGGCATTTTGGATTTGTAAAAACTTTACACTTAATTAAACGGCAATTTTGGTGGCCATCAATAAAAAAGGACATAGAAAGTTATGTTGCCAGCTGCCCAACCTGTGCATCGGCAAAGAGGTTGCAAGGGAAGTCGCCAGGGCTATTACAACCAGTGGCAAGTCCCTCAGCCCCCTGGAGGGAAATAGCCATGGATTTTATAGTGGAATTGCCAGAAAGCAATGGGAATACTGTTATCTGGACAGTCACGGACCTATTTTCCAAACAGGTGCACTTTATCCCTTGCCAGAAGATTCCCACTGCAAAGGCCTTAGCAAAACTTTTCATCCAGCACATTTACAGATTGCACGGGGCACCCCAACGCATCATCTCTGATAGGGGAGTGCAATTTACGTCTGCATTTTGGAAGGAATTTTTATCCCTCTTAGGGACCACTCAGGGACTGACATCTAGCCATCACCCTCAGACAGATGGACAAGCGGAACGCTGCCAGTCGGTACTTGAGCAATATTTGAGATGTTTTTTAAATTTCCAACAGAGTGATTGGACGGACTTACTTCCTTTTGCAGAAGTCGCCTACAATAATGCAGTCCACTCCAGCACAGGCTACACTCCTTTTCAAATAGCCAACGGTCAAAGTTTCAACCCTATGCCAGAGTTAACCCCAAACGAACCAACGATCCCTTCACTGAAAGAATGGATGGAAAACCTACAAAACACCTGGCCAATAGTCAGAAAATCACTAGATGAAGCTAGGCAGGCATACAAAGCACAAGCCGATAAAAAAAGGGTTGAGCCTACACCATTCATTATAGGAGAAATGGTGTACTTATCTACAAAATACCTAAAATCCCTACAGCCCTGTAAAAAACTTGGACCAAAATATATAGGACCTTTTCCAATTAAAAGAATCATAAATCCAGTAACAGTAGAATTAGAATTACCCAAAAATCTCAGGCAAATACACCCAATTTTTCATTGCAGCCTGCTGAAAAGAGAGCATCAGTCACCTCTACGGCCAAAAATCCCCCCCCCACCACCTCCAATCATGGTGGAGGGTGAACAACACTTCGAAATAAAAGAGATCCTTGACTCTAGGAGATATCATGGAACAACTCAGTACCTAGTTGCCTGGAAACACCTCCCTGCCTCACAAAATGAGTGGGTTCATAAACGTCATGTCAGAGCCCCGAAGCTATTGAAGAAGTTTCACACAGAGTATCCTAACAAGCCTGACTAAATTTTTTACTTGTGTTTTCTTTCAGGTGGATCTCTCTTATTTTTAAGAGGGGCCGAATGTCAGAATCCAATTATATTTCATCTTTAATTATCAAATATAGAAACTCCCAATTCTGCCTTCTCTGGATTCTGCCGTAAGAGGGAGAGAAGGGGGAGAGCAAAGGGGCTTTATGGCCCTCACTTCCTTCAGTATACTTCAAAGGGCTGAATGATGAATGTGTGTTTATTGTGACCTCTAAGCGTTAGCATATCAAAGAAGGGTAATTGCCTTTCATGTAGTTATCTGAAGTCTCCATCCAGACGGAAGAAAGAAGAAAAGGGGTGGAATTGTGATACTTGAAACTATCACTGGAAGGGGGTTTGATTGGGTGGGACTACTGGGGAACCCCTTAAAACCTTGAATGGGAGAGCTTGAACCCCAAGTCCTGTCTAGCATGCCTGCAACCACTTCTCTTAATAAAGGATTCCTGTTGGAAGAATTATTCCAAGAGTTCTGTCTTCTTAAGATGCAAAGTGGGGTGGATCCTTACATTTAGCTACTTCTGCTTTCTCCCTTCTTATCTACAGTGTGCCAGACTTACTGGGTGAAATCTTTAACTTTGCTGGGTGGATTGCTTATGTAATCAGAAAAAATAAATACAAGATTTCTTGTAATTTGGGGCTTCTCTCTTTTAGAGGAGCCCATCTTTGTTCAGCTGAATAAAAACATTACACTTAAAGGCAACTTCTGGTTTCCTGTATTTTTTTATCAAGCAAAACCTCAGAACCTGCACAGCAAGTCCACAAGTCTTAAAGTTGACAAGGTTGGAGACCCATGATCTAGAATGGTAAAATGTTATTAATAGCTAGACTTAATTTTCTTTATTTTTGTCAATATGGAAACCAAGTTTATTTAAGCTGCCCACCCATCAGCAGCTAATGGCATTGAGTAAGCAGGACCAGGCCAGGGTGGAGGAGGGCAGCTGAGGGGAATATTACTTGACATCATAAGTAAATGCAGGTTTTTTTTTTTGCAAAACTGTCATAAAATGTGGTCACATGACTGCAGGATGCAACAAAGAGCTCTAAATGCAGCCTGGTTACCAAGCACCAGGTATGGTCACATGATCACAGGAGGGTGACTGTAGGAACTTTGAATCTGGGCCATAAGTACCCCCCCCCAAACAAACGGTCAGTAAGCACCCAATCATAAGTCGAGGACTATCAGTATCCCACTCTCACCTCCCCCAAGTGTTTCTTCTGAGGATCCAGAAACATGGACCAGTTTTTCCTCATTATCTCCAACATCCAAACATCAAGACAAGTGTTTGCTTCGAAAGGGAGACGAGGAGAGCCCCGATTCAATTATCATCAGAACATTGTTATTAGACACCTTTTAAACACTCAAACACAAAATCTGAAAGATGACATTAAAAACAAATTCCAGACCACCACATCGTACACATTAAAATTCCCGTGTTTTATTATTTACACAACTGGAGCAAGACCACAACAGAAGTCTGGTGGGAAGGCTTTGGAGAACATCCATTAATGTCCTCCGAGGGTCATGATCATTTGTGGATTCTCACAAGGGAGCCATCAAAATGGAGTCTCTGCTAGACCCTACAAGAATCTGTTTGTCCAGACAATTCCAGAAGAGTAATGCTCCCTTTCCAGAACTGCCTCAGAGAATATTGGTAAGACAGAAAGATAAGAAGAACCCAATTCTAGCAGAGGGAAAAGAAGGGAGGAGAGGTAGATTGTTGGGGATGTCTGATTGTTGCAGACTCATTGTCAGCAACTGGCAACGAGGACCTGATTTCCTGGGAGAGTCCTATGGCCAAGAGAGTCTTCCTCAACCTTAAATACCAGCAGTTAGAAGTCAAGTTGCATTTTTACAAGAGGCACACACACAATCACCAAGGTAACCTCCTTCTTACAGACTCAGGGGAGTGCCCAGTTGAGGCAGACCTGCAGGACAGGTTCTTCCTTGGAGGGTGCTGGTAGCTAAACCCACCTGCAAGGTTTGCACTGGGAATCAGTCACAAGACTCCTTGGCAGTCCCAGGGACTTTTAAAGTCATCCAAAGGACTTGGGATCATGTGGGGAAAGTGGCCTGTTTTAAAGATACATCCCGTCCCCCAAAATATCCTTGGCAGAAGCCATAAGAGCGGAGACCCCTTGGTCTGTGGTGGCCACCCAGGAGTGTGGACCCTCAAGGACCAACGTGTCCGTGGCTCTCCCTCAAGTTGTCTCAAGACCAGGGGAGCTGCTACCTACCAGCCAGAGGGGCAAAGAGTTGGGAATTCCACAAGAACCACAAGGGACTGTTCAGCAGCCCCCTTCATGCTTCCTCCCCCCCACCCCAAACTCTGCCAGTGGCTTCCTAGGAGACTGAAGTCCAGCTTCTAAGGAGAATCCAGGACTGGGCAGCCTCCAGGGGTCTCTGCTGGAACCAAAGGATAGCTTCAAGCCCTGTGGATAAACAGGTGTGCAGGATGGAAAGCAAGTAGGCCAGACACCTGGTAGAGGGGAGCCCTCTCCTTTGCCAGGGAAAGACCTGGTGGTTTCTGGGTGGCCTCCTCACTTTCTAACCCACCAGAGGTTAGATGTTCTGGCAACAAGGGGTCTCTCTCGCTCCCTGTTGAGTGGGCAAGACTTTGATGGGCTCAATGGTGGTCCCGTGGCTGAACTCTGACTCAGGTTGCCCTCCTGCAAGTTGTCGCTGGGATACAATCCGGTAGATTTCTGGAGGAGAAGAAAAGAGAGAAGAGGCCAAGTGGAGTTGGACGTCGACCTCAGTCTGGAGCAGAAGCAGTCATGGGAGGAGAAGACAATCAAGGCTAAAAAATAACTCAGGTCCAGAGATCCCAGGAGATCAACCTGCACACCACTGATTTCCCTTCTGAAGTATATTAAGTGCTGCATCGTTATAATTAGCTTCTCCAATGGCCCTGCATCCTGTCATCTTTTCACTGCAAAGAGAGTCGTTAAACACGGATGTCATGCCAAAGTGATTTCTTCCCATTTCAGTCAGAACATGGGCATTTCCAAAAGCTTTGATCTGGCACCCATCCAAGGGTGGGGTTCAGATGACTTCTGCATCTGCTGGGCTATAAAACTTCCCACGTATTGCGGTGGCCTTCCCAAAGGGAAAGTCTGAGTACTGCAGAGTTAGGAAAGAGGCCACCTCTCCTGAAGCCTGCAGAGGTTATGAGACCCACCTACACAGCAGGAGGAGAGGCTGCTTGCCCAGGGACACCTTCTGGACTTGCACGACATTTTGAAGCACAAAATAGCCTCATGAAACGGAACACACAAAGGACAAAAATACAAACCAACCTGTACAACGTTAGAGTAAGCCCAGCTTCAGGTGACCTGTTTGCATCTGCTGGGTGAATGCACCCTGGGTCAAAGGTTGAGCAAGCACTCCCAAAACTATTCTTTTCCTGCTCTTAGGCACAGCTTCCTCTAAAGCAGCATTTCCTGATCTCGGGAGCTTTAGGATGGGTGGACCTCAACTTCCAGAGTTCTCCCCCAGACAGCATGCCGAGGGGGGAATTCTGGGAGTTGAAATCCACCCATCTTACAGCTCCTGAGGTCGAGAAACACTGCTTTAAAGTGAAGCCTTTATGTCTGCCCAGGCATCCCTAAGAGGAGGAAGGAGGTTGGTTTTGGAGCCTGCCTCCACAGCCAGGTGTTGACCTTAATATCCCCCCCTGCAGGGAACCTTCGGTTAACCTTTCTTGGTGCTCATGACATCCAAGGAGTGTTGTAGGCCCTGTCAGCCAGGGCTGGGTCTGCCTGCCTTTTGCCACTCCCAAGCAGAGCATAACCTGTGTCCACCCGGGTAGGTATGAAGGGAAACCATACATACCTGTCAGGATGTTGTGAAAGGCTGCCTCCACGTTGGTGGAATCTAGAGCTGATGCCTCAATGAAAGACAAGCCATTCTTTTCTGTGGCAGGTGAAGACACAGAAAAAGGTATCATCAGTGATGGTGATGGTCCACACATACTCTCTGTGAGAAGCTCCATCCAGCCCTCATGTGCTCCTCAGACCTCAGCTGCCTCATCACCATCAGAAGTGCTGAGGCTCAAAACAATCTCATCCCATCTCCCACCAATCCGGAGATGGTGCCCTCCTTAAGTGACACCAGGTTTAGGCTCCAACCTCAGAGTATCAGCAGGTGGCACCTGATGACCATCTCTTCCCAGAGCCCCCAAAGCGGATTGCCTCCCTTTCCGTTACTTTTTTTATGCTTTTCAGATCCACTTTATGCTTTAATGTATACCATTTATCTTCTGGTTTTAAAATGTTTGTCAGCCCCTTTGGGAAAATCTCTTTTTAGCTGTAGCTTACATAAATAAATAAAAGTTAGGCGGAATGTCCTAGAATAGTCCATCATTTTTAAAGATAGTGAGGGTTGTGTTTCCAGAAGACACTGACAAAGTTCAGAATGAGAATCCAGGAATCTTAGGTGTCTTTTTCTAATTAAAAAATACACATGTTTAGCTCCCTGAACCATGTTGCTGGAAATTTGGTGTCCAAATAAGGGTTTTTAAGTGAATTAATTTTGCCCCTCGCCTTAATTTAAAAATGAATGAAAAAAATCAGTGACATCTTAACCCCTCTGGGTTTCCCGCATGCTTCCAACGGCCAGCGGAAAAGGTGGCTGGACTTAAACACACTGCTCCTTCTGTGCAGCAGTAACACCACACCCAAGGAAGGGCTGCAGGGCGGCCCCTTGCTCCAGGCCCAGGAGGCGCCTGGCCAAAAACCTTGAAGAAGCCGCAGGGGGCTGAACCACGTGGACCAACAGCAACGCTCCGAGGCTCTCCTCCTTCACCCAAGGATGCAGCAGTGGTGCCAAGGGCTGAGCTAATGAATTAGTCATGTGCTGAAGTCACTTCCTGTGGCGAAGTGGAACAGATGAAGGGCTCTGAGCTGGCCAGAATCTCTCTGAGTGAAGGAGAGGCTCCGAAGCCTCCTCCTCCTCCATGGGCCGGGAGCCTTACCTGCAAAGCTCTTGGCTTCGTCAGTGGGCACGGCCCGCAGGTGTCGCAGGTCGCTCTTGTTGCCCACAAGCATAATGACGATGTTGGCGTCCGCGTGGTCCTGTAGCTCCTTCAGCCAGCACTCTGCATTTTCATAGGTCAAGTACTTGGCGATATCATAAACCAGAAGGGCACCGACGGCCCCTCGGTAGTAGCTGCAGGGGGCGGGGGAAGTGAGGAGAGATAGAGTCACTTGCCAGCAGAACCAGACCGTCAGCAGCATCTCCCTCCCACCACCAACGGGGGGCACTGACCCCAACATGGCCTCCGGTCCTCTCCTTTACAGGGGGCTGCCAGGCTTTGCACAGAAATCGGGGCCATTGCCAGAACAAACCTCACAGGACCATCTTGCCAAGCCGAGAAAATTATATTTGATTTAAGTGCCATTTCCAGCTTCTCATGGTCAGGTGATCACAATTCATGATGTTTTTGCAGGAAACTTCCAGTTTCTAGCATGGCTGGCTGAGGAATTCTGGGAGTTGAAGTCCACCTGGCTTAAAGTTGCCAAGGTTGGGAACTACTACCCTAGATGGATTTGTTATGTTTGCCTCAGCTCCCAAGCAGAAGCACTGGGCTCCAGGGAGCCTTCGCAAGCTAACACAGATCAAGGAACCAGATTAGAGGGCGATATCCACCTTTAACTTTTCTATTAGAAAAGAAGGCCCTGCCTAGCCAAGCTGCCCTCTCCCTTCCCTCTTGGGCACCCAGAGGCAGCAACCAAGTCTCTTACGCGGAAGTGATGGCCCGGTAGCGCTCCTGCCCAGCTGTGTCCCAGATCTGGGCCTTCACGGTCTTGTTATCCACCTGGATGCTGCGCGTGGCAAACTCCACCCCAATGGTGCTTTTGCTCTCCAGGCTGAACTCATTCCGGGTGAAGCGCGAAAGCAGGTTGCTCTTCCCAACACCGGAATCCCCGATGAGGACGACTGCAAAGAGGCAAGTGACTCTGTGATTAATTAAAATACCTCAGGAGACCCCTCTGAAAAACGATGTTTTGTGCTTGGTTTTTGTTTTCGTAAGGAAGTTTATCTCATCCACATTTCTGAATTATTTTGAGCCAAAGAATAGGCCAGGCTTTGCACCAAGCAATTTGACATCAAAACCTGAATCTCCCCGAATATGGTGAGGGAGATGGAAGTTTCTACATATGATTGATGGATGGATAGATGGATGGATGATTGGATGCTAGAGAAAGGCTAGATACATAGAAGAGAGATGATTAGATAGATGATAGATAGATAGAGACAGATTTATTGATCACAAAATGGCCACTTAAGGATAAAATAGTTCACCAGCCCAACAGAAGAGAGGGCAGCTAGGTTTATATTCATCAATAAGTTTAAGGCTGTTTCAGAAAATATCAATAAACAACCCTGGGTTTTTAACACCTTATTATTGTTACATGATGCAAAAGTTCTCTCTAGATCAGGGATAGGCAACCTTGGCTCTTTTATGACTTGTAGACTTCAACTCCCAGAATTCCTGAGTCAGCATGGCTGGTTCAGGAATTTTGGGTGTTGAAGTCCACAAGTCATAAAGGAGCCAAGGTTGCCTACCTTTGATCTAGACCAGGGGTAGGCAACTTTGGCTCTTGAAGACCCTGCCTCCCCATCATCCTACACCAGTTAAGCCATACCATTTATCCAAAGAAAAAGTTACAGCTCTCACCAGCTTTATAATAAAATGTACTAGGCTTAAAGGATGCTAGCAGACTCGTTCTGAATGTTGCCCCATCTGAAGGCGGAGACAGAACAGTAAAGGCAGCGTCACAAAGCAACTCCAGGCCTCTTTATGTAGAGAGAAGACTCTGCTCTTCCTTTTATTATTTTATGTTTCATTATAAAATAAAAATGCGGACTTTTCCAATTTTTTTCAGTGCAGTAAAATATAAGAAAAATCCCATCTTAACCTTTTGTTTTCCACTTCACAACATTTCAAGCTGTTTCTATTAACACCAAGATTATTCTAGAAACCTAAAATCAAATCATTTTTTTCAGTTTCTAGCACAAATCGAGAAGCGTTTTCCAAGGAGAAAAAAAACTAGATAAATTCTTCTCTTTAATTAAGACCACCTCCGCTAGCTCCGTCACTTTTACAATCCACTCTTCAGTTCTGTGAACAAGTGTGTCTTTCCATTTTTGTGCATGAAAGACGTGCATAATTGATGCACACACCCCAGAGACCTACAAAAGGGGACCTCCTCACCAAAATCCCCAGGCTCCTGAGGTCCCTGGCAGGTCCCTCATCCTGGCCTCTGACAAACTGGCAGGTGAGGTGTGTGGCATGTGGCCCGTCCCACACCTGAAGCCGCCCTGAGTCCCAGCCCTGACTCACCGGCTGGAAAACTCTGTTTGGGCAACCCCCAGCTCAGTCCCCGAGACCAAAGGCCTGGCTGGCTGGGGAATTCTAGGAGTTGAACCCCGCCTATCTTACAGTTGCCAAGCTGGAGAAACACTGATATAAACAGACAAATGGGTACCAAAGGCCTTTAAACCTCAGGATAGCCGGATGTGTGAAAGGAGCATCTAACTCGGGGGTGTCCAACCTGGGAACTTGAAGACCTGTGGACTCCCAGAATTCCCCAGCTAGAAAAGCTTGATTCTAGTTGTTTTCCTTCCTCCTTTCCACTCCGAATTGAATGAAAGCTGAAAGTTGATTCCCCAGCTGGCTGAGGAATTCTGGGAATTGAAGTCCACAGGTCACGTTCCCAAGGTTGGACGCCTCTAGGTCGGCTCGGAAATTGGGGAGGGGGGGTCTCCTCCCAGCCCACCTGGAGCAGTCAGGTGAATCCCCGCGAAGGCTCCTCCGCGGGAGCGGTGCCGCTTTGAGGGCTGGATCAATCCGGAGTGGGAAGCGGGAAGGAAAAGGAAGCGGGATTCCCACGAACGGGCAGCCAGAGAAAGTTCACCGGCTCTGCGAAACTGCCCCGGCGAAACCGAGGAATCGCTTCCAGGCCTCTTACGGCCTCGGAACCGGGAAATGAGAAAGGAGCAGCGTTTCCACCTAGCAGGCGAACCCGGGGGGCGAAGGGCTGCTCCGGCTGCGAGCAGGCGGGGGGGGGGCGAGTGTGCCAGCTCTCACTCACTCTTGAACAGGTAGTCGTACTCGTCGTCCTTGCCCCGCATCGCCCCGGACTTCTGCGCTGCCTCCCGACAGAGCAGGTCAGCCACACCTGCGCGTCTCTCCTCGCCCGGAAGCGCTGGCGCAGATCTCCCGGCCTGGCGAATTCCCGCGTCTGGCCGGCTTCGGCTGGCCGGTTGGAGTCGGGCTTTCCCGGCTGGGCTAGCGCCTCCCCCGTGGCGCTGATTGGCCCGGCCTCGCCCCGCAGCTTTACTGACTGCAGGCGGGTTATTGGGCTGCTCACCTGGGCAGGTAGGAGGAGGGGAGGCTGCAGAGAGAAACTTACTCAGAGGTCTGAAGCCTCCCCCATCCGCCCGTCTGGGCTCTCCCTGCCTGCCTACCTGCCCACCAGCTGTTCTTGGGAAAGTCCTGACTGAGGTTTACTGACAGCAAAGCTTTGCCCTTTGTGTGTTTCCAGATCCACAGGTAAAGGTGGAAGAACAGGTAGTCCTCAATAACCCTTTGCTTGGCGATGCTTGGAGATACAGCAACAATGTAACAGGGATTTACGAGCTGTCCTTGCACTTATGAGGGAGGCAGCATCCCCATGGCCTCTCAAAATTCAGCCGCTTGGCAACAGGCATGTATTGACAATAGTTGTCGTTTCCCAGGGTCATGAGATCACTGCCTGAAACTCCCCCGCCCCCGCCAGCCAGCTTCCCACAAGCAAAATCAATGAGGAAGCTGGATTCATTTAATGACCCTGTGACTCACTTCACAACTGTGGCCAAAAAAGGTCATAAAATCAGGAGTGACTCACCTTATTTTGCTATGGCAATCCTGGTCCCAATTGGTGACATAAGCTGAGGGCTACCTACATCTACATTCTGTGGTGCTCAGCTGGAAGAGACCAGTTACAGTATGTGTGACTTTGACCCTCTCGTGATGCATCTGATCTGTGCTTCAATCTGAATTAAGGAAGCACAGTTGTTTGGGGCTGGAAAAATCATTTTGGTCGTTTTTCCCTAGCTCTGATAATTACACCAAATCCATTTTTTAAACAGCCATTGATATTCACCATTCTTCTTAGGGCAGAGTTTGGCCTGTCCTCAGGGAGTGCTTGGCTCCATTAATGGCAATCCATGGATCTTGCTGGGAGAGGAGGGATTCCCGGTTAACCAATCCTTTCAAGGTCTGAACCAGACTAAAAATCAGCACTTGACAGTTTAATGTTTTTTCATTGCTGGGAAAACGCCTGCCTGAGTAACCTGGATTTTCCTTTGAGTGATTTTAGGGGTGCTGGGTGAGCCCTGATCTCCTGGCCTCTTGCATGATACACACCTGAAAACAAACTGGTTCCCTGCCAAATGTAAACTTATACCAACTAAACCAGTTCTAAGATACCACGCGAGGTTAATTTGATACCCAGGAGACCCATCAGGCAGCCCATACTTAAGTAGCCTGCTCATCACTCTGTCATGGGACACTTTGTCAAAAGCATTCACAGTCTTCCCACCGTGTAATAAGGCGGTTCTTTGAGGGCAGTTGATCAGCAAGATTTCTTCTTATTATTATTCCATGTTCTAAGTTTTATTTTATTTTTTTTATTTTACTAGTTAAATTTGTTTGTTGCAAAGTGACAATCTTCTGGACATCTCCGTGCCGACTCCTGTTGTAACCTGCAGTGATCGTGGCACGTTTGTCCTCAGGAAGGAAGGAATCCAACCTGGCGCAGAGAGGCAGCCAGAGCACAGAGACAGCGATCCCCAGCGGAAAAGTCAAAGGAGCAGAGCATGATGGAGTCGACCTTCAGCTGATGGGACAGGAGGAGAAATTGGCAGTCAAAACAGGCATTGCTGACCGAGGGGCAGAGGGGCTAAGAAATCTGAGAAGTGGACTTCTCTCTCCACTGGGGTTATCAAATCTGAATTTTGCCCTGGGGGGGAGAAGTTGGAGAGGGAATTATGCTGGTCTGAGGTCCTACAGCCTCTTCCACCTGTCCTCCTGCCCTGGGCACTCCCCCTTTAAACCTGCCTGGTCCTCAGGGATGGAGGTCTTCTGGATCTGGTGGCCTGTCTGGGAGAACCCCACTTCTTCTCATCTTGTTGAGGGGGATCCAGGATGCCTCGCATGCTCCTCCCAGTTCCCTTCCCTTTGCAAGAGATGCTATTGTTTTCCCCTAAGAGGACCATCCTATTAAGCCATGTGATAAACATAAACACTCCATCATCCAGAACAATTTATTTACAAATATGTTAATATATACACATTTATAAATGTACACACACAGTATGAGAGACTCCCATCCCACAAAGTCACATGTCTTGTGGGTGGAAGATCTGGAAAAGAATCAAGTGATGCTCGCAGGCAAAAGGAATCATTGCAAGTAAGAACTCTCTGCCTGACGCCGAAGGCACCGAAGGAGGGCACGAGAAGCGCCTGCCGAGCCCAGCCTGGTTCCCAAGTTACCACCTGGAAATGTCTGCAAGGGGAGGGCTACCTGTGACTTTCAGCTTCACTTCTCTGCAAGCAAGCAAGCAATTTAGGCTTCTGTCAGGGCCGATTGGTCTAGCTGCAGCCCCTAAACAAGGAAGAAAGGGAAGAGACTAAAGGGAGGTCGCCAAGGATATGTTGGTCTTCTCGTGGTCCATCCACCCTGGCCCCACTGAACCAATTATTCCCAAGGGAAGACATCGCTCCACATCAAAAAGGTGGCATGAGGAACCAGCTTCCTCTGTTCTCCCTGCGCCCAACTGAAGGATCACCAATATCCCACTTCTACATACATGCATCATAAGGCACCATTCTCTTAACCGATTGTGGTGAAAACCAACCACAATTTGGTGCAGGTGTGCTGTACAGTAAGTCACAATTCATATTTCCTTGACCCAGTGGCTGGGCTCACACACTGCCCAACACCTGCCTGTGTTGATCTCTTTGTATTCATTGCCTAAATTGAAATGGCCGCCCATCTGATCTACGTGACTCAAAGCGGATAGCAAAACATTGTTTAGCATTTCCTTTGAACTCAGTTACTGTAGATTGCAACCATGGACAGTAACTTGGTGTCATGGCTTGTGGTATGTCTTGGTCAAGGTCTCTTTTGCCAGTTCCTCAGAAGGGTCTCATCCACCAGCCCTCACCCCTTCCTAGGAGTCCAGTTTCATACATGAACAATACTTCTGTCCAGCCCACCGGCTGCCCACCATTTGCTCAGAGTTACAGATTCTACTTCCAGGTCACCAATCGCCAGGTCCTTGGAGGAATAAAATCTTTCTCTTTCATTTGGATTAGCAGATTCACCTTGAGCCATGGAATTTCCTTGCGCAGCAACCCTTTCTGGATTTCAACCCTTTCTCTAGGGTGGCCAAGCTGTTGGGCTGGTGTTCTGCCTGGACCACCTTCTCAAGGTCGATTCCCGTGCATTTTTACTCCTGGATCAGGTGAGGAGACTATTTTTTAATCATCTTCCTGCCAGAAATGGCAGAACGCTTTCCAATTTCATCCAGTTTTTTGTAAAAAGCTCTCTAATTTCACTTTTACTGGTGAGAAGGAAATGGCTGTGAAGAGCTGAGGACCAGAGGAGAGAAGTGTTCCTGCTCCAGCATGGAGTAGCCAAGTGACAGGTGTGTGTGTGTGTGTGTGTGTGTCTTGCCTACAGTGGAGTCAAGCTTTGCAGGGCAGCTGGAGAAAAACCCTCGCATCAACCCAGGTCAGAAAACCCTTTTAAGCACCACCAGAAAGACCAATAGAGGCTCAGAGAGGGCTCTCTTTGAGGAATCATGGCTAAGACCAGATAGGAAGCCCCTCCCCATCACCTCCTCTTGGTAGCACAGGTTCTGCCCTCATACTGGGCCAGGAGGAGCTGCCAGGGAGCAAAAGGCACTCTTTCCCCTGGCAAGGCTGCCCAAACCGGTGGGTCCTCTGAGGCAGCCATGATTAGCATCAGGGGTTGGAAGGCAAGATCGGGAAGTATCAGTGGGAGGGAGGGAGGGAGGAGAGTGTTTGTTTCACAGGTATAGCCAGACATCTGGATTTAGAACTGACCTTTTGGCTGTCAACACTGTTAACATGGGCTGTTCTTGCTTTGACAACAGATGGAAAGGCAGCCATTTTCTCTATTGCTTTTAGAATTAGTTGATGTTGGGAGGGGGAAATGGGATGAGAGTCCAGCTAGTCATAACAATAATAATTTAGCTGTGGGAACCCAAGGACATTGGGCCCAGAACTGATAGTGTTTTGGCGAGCTGGAGAGCTGGGGAGAAAGCCCATGCTTTAAGCTAATTGAGGAATGTGATTTATGACTGTTAGTTGGAGGAGGGAATTGTACTTTGTTACTTTGTATCCAGAGGAGGGGAATTTAGTTTTTGGTTTCAACTATGTAGTGCCGATACTTTGTTTCTCGAATAAAAGTTTCTTTAAGGTAAACAATGGCTCAAAGTTCTTTTGAAGAGTTTCATCTGTCGGAACCATGACATTGGCTTCAGTGAGTCCGTTCTATGCATGGTCAATCTGGATCCACTCTAGATCCAGCTTTGGAACAATTTCCTATGTTGCTCCAACACAAGACCAAATTCCCGAAGTTGAGGTAGGCAAACCAGGTCAAGAAATTCCAAAGCCCAGCTATAGCTAAGTTGCTTTTAGGCTTAATTTTGGCTTAATGTGAACCCAGCCACTAGCTCGTTGGGCAATCCAAGATTAAAATGTCCTCTTGGCTCAATGCAGTGCATGACCCCGACTGATGATTCCCACTCACCAGCCCCCTCAGAGGTTCATGCAGCAGGCCTTCTTCTGCTCAGCAGCTGCCGAGGAGGATGCTGCGTTGGGATTTTCAGTAGAGAGCGAAATTTTGTTGTCTAGAGGGCTCTTCTGCTTCTGCTTCTGCACTTTATTGAAAATGTCTAGGAATAGGAAATGAAAAGAAAGTGGGTTTTCTATCTTTTACGTCTGCAGTGAAGAGACACCATCAATTTGCCCTCCAATAACTTAACGTAACATAAAACACAAAACGTGACATAACAACATAACATATGTATATAATAATACAATAATATAAATTCTGGGAGTTGAAGACCACACAGCCTAAAGTTGCCAAGGCTGAGAAACGGGTTCAGAGGATCAGTAACCTCTGACCCTTCAGAAGGGCCTTTGGGGACAGGAGGGACAATCAGGTAAAGAACAAGCGGGTTTGTGGTCAATGCTCTGTTTTCTATTTAGTTTGCTACATGCTGACAGCTTAGCCCAGGGATGGGGAACTATGGCCCTTTTATGAAGTGTGAACTTCAACTCCCAGAATTCCTGAGCCAGCCATGCTGCCTTAAGAATTCTTGAAGTCCACAAGTCATAAAGGGACCACAGTTTGCCACCCCGGTTTAGCCTGAGTGGTGTATCTAATCTGTTTCCTGGATTATCGAGTGAACGCTTCTCCACGATGCATCTGACTAGAGGGGCATATAATAAATAAATATCCCACCCCCTTGAAGAGCCTTGCCCGGCATTCTGAGGGCTGGAAGCAGCTCTCCAGTTAAAACTCTGGGCCATCTTTGCCAATTTGTCTCTGATCCAGAAGAAATCCAGATACCATCAAGTTCTGTTAAATAGCAGAACTCATTTGTTTCAGCCGAGGCAGCTGAGAACAGAAGTCTGCTATGGACCAAACTCAAAACTAGGTAACATCTTGAATTTTCAAACTGAGTTCCTGGCGAATTTAGGAAAGATTCCCTAAAGAAGCCCCCCAAAGACGATTGCAGTTACAGTGTCTTCTACTTCTTGCTGGATAATCAGGTAGAAGTCTATCAAGCTCCATGTTCTTCTTTCTGATGCCAAGTAAATAAGGTGTTAAAGACTTCCCTGCGTAGTGGAAAGCCTAAGTCTCAGCTGGCAGCCACAGAGCATCTGCTCCTCCAGAGGCGCCTCTGCCCCAGGTCACCCCCACCTACCTCTCAAAATGGTCTCGAAAGCCAGTTCCACGTTGGTGGAGTCCAAGGCAGACGTCTCCACAAAGAGCAGCCCATTGTTTTCTGCGGCAAGGAAGACAGAAAAATCCCCTCAATGGCCAAAGAAGCAATGGAGTTTAACTGAACGAAGGTGTGAGACAGCCACCGAAAGGAAATTTGTTCCTATTTGCAGGAAGACACTGTGAGGGTGCCCAGCTCCTTCTTCAGGGAATAGCCGCCATCTTAGAGGAGAAATGTCGACTTCAAAGATAATGACAGCAGTGCCCACATCTCATTTTAAAAAAAGGACTTGTATGCTTTTTTCTTTGGATCTGTTTTTCTTCTAATGCCCATTTTAATGTGTTTTATTAAGATCATTAAATCAGGGTGAATAAATTGCTGGGCACGCCACTTCCTTCCCCTTGCAGCTTATAGCTGAAGACCAAGCCCACTAATTACTTCCAAACTATTTTGAGCTTCAGATCCATCAACATGAACTGCTGGGGCTGATGGGGATTGTCATCCAAAGCATCCACAAGGCCTGGAACAGCCCGTCTGGTTTTTCATCCAAAGTCAAAGCCGTGGGCCACATCCTGCCTTGACTCAGCACTGCACTCACAGCCACTCAAGTCCCACCGCTCTGGGGAAGCTGCAGCCACCCCTTCCTACCAGCATACATCTTGGCCTCGTCCGTGGGCACCTCTCGGGCTTGGGCCAGGTCCGTCTTGTTGCCCACTAGCATCACAACGATGGTCGCCTCTGCGTGGTCATACAGCTCCTTCAGCCAGCGCTCCACCACGTCGTATGTTTGATGCTTGGTGATGTCGAACACCAAGAGGGCTCCCACCGCCCCACGATAGTATCTGTGGCAGAGAATGCAGGGAGAAAAGTGAGGACAGAGAACAAGATGAGAAGAGGGAGAACTCTGCCATCGTGGCAACATCTCCGCCGGGAAGGTCATCCCTGGTGGGGCTCATCACTCGGAGCTTCTGCTTCTCCCCAGAGCTTCTACCTCTGCTTGGCCTCTCCAGCCATTGACCACTCCCCAGATCAGGCCGAGGGTGACGTGTTGGCCAAGGCAGTCGGATGGAGGGCCAGTGGCTCTTTTCTGGCCAGGAGATGGCTTTCCTCAGAGAGACCAAAGGTTTCACCTGAGAGCCTCTGCTCCAGTGCGGAGCACAGCTGGCACAGCTGGGTCAGTGCTGTCAACAAGATAGCCAAGGATCTGGGCGATAGCACTGAGCACGGCCATGATCTCTGAGCGTTTCCAGTGCCACAAATGCCTCACAGAAACTGAAGCAGCTGCTTACCAGACTTTTCCCATTCAGGTAAGGCACAGAGGAAGAGAAAAATACACTTTGCTATCACTAAAGGAGAATATTTGCAGCTCAGGATTGAACTGAGGGGTCCTTGGTGCTCTCTGAGCTTGGCTGTTTTCTTGGAGCCATTTCATTACCTAACTGAGTAACATCATCAATGCTAGAAAACACTGGCATTGTTACCTAGTTGGGTAAGGAAACATTTGCGAGAAAAGAAGCAACCTCAGAGAACACCAAGGTCCCTACAGTTGTCCTCCTCCTCCTCCACTCTGCAAACCCTACTACCTTCTAGCACTGGTGATGTTACCTAGTTGGGTAATGAAATGTCTGCAAGAAAACATCAAGCTCAGACAGCACCAAGAACCCCACATCTGTGCTATCTTTACTGCAATACATGGACTAAGTGTGCACAGTATGCTTAACCAGGTTAGCAAAAGGCCCAAGGGTTACATGGATGTCATCCATCAAACCTGTTTATGAAAGTTTAATATCAGATGGTGTAAACCCAGCTGCTTCAGTTTATGTTGAACCTAGAAAATGGGCGACTCCAGTCATCCTGTATGACAGACATAGTTTCTCCTTCACACCTACAAGATGTTCCTCTAAGTTAAGACATGTCTAGATATGCCCTGATCCAACCCTGCCTGCATCCACATCCAGGCTGATCCTCCTGTGACTCATTAATATACCCAACAGGTTCTGTGGGAATCACCTGTAAACACCTGATCAGGTCACTCAAAGCACCAATAATAAGTCAAAACCTGTTAGATTGAGAAAAGTGGAAGGAAGGAGATATTTGACCAGGTGGAAACCTTCCTAGCTCTCAGCCCACTGCCCTCCTCGGCCACCCACCCTTTGCCTCTACTTACGCCGATGTGATGGCCCGGTAGCGCTCCAGCCCGGCCGTGTCCCAGATCTGGGCCTTCACCAGGGCATCTCCCACCAGGATGGTGCGTGTGGAGAACTCCACCCCAATCGTGGTGCGGCTGTCGTGGTTGAACTCATTGCGGGTGAAGCGTGAGAGCAGATTGGTTTTTCCCACTCCAGATTCTCCAATCAGAACCACTGGGAGGAGGAAGAAGACAACGCTGTTTAAGACGCTGGGTGCATTTCTCCATCACTACATGCACATCCATTGCGTTAAGCCAGGCTTGTTTTAATCGTGGATTTGGGTTTGGGGTTTTTTTTTTAGTCAATCACAGTGGTTGACTTCAGACAGCGCTCTTGATAGTTTAAGCTGCAGAGGCCGAGTTCAGCCAAACCATCCCATTCCTCACAATTTGGCCAGCTGTGATTTGTACCTTCTGCAGCATCGGGGTCAAATCCAGACAACAACTGAGCCAAGGGAATTGTGCGGGTTCGGACAGTGAAAGAGGGAGCCGTGAGAGTACCGTGAGGAGCTGGATTAGTTTCCCAGGACAGAGGAAGAAGTCCCCAGAGGCAAACCGAGGTTCCCCTTGGCCCTGCAGGGGCCTCCCGAGACCCCTTTGCCCAGCAAGGCAAGCTCTTCCCCACCCACCACACTGGGGCTGAGATTGTGCAAGCGGCTAACCACATTTTAGCTAAGGGTGCAAATCCAGTGGATGTGGTCACTCTGTGGTTCCTGAATTGCATTATTCTCCTCCCTCGGGAAATGGGGTTGAGTAAACCGAGGTTCAGTTAGCCATGGGGAAGGCATTTGTGAAATGAATACGCACACGCACACACACGCATACCGTTCAAGTATTTTTTTATCTTTATAAGAGAATCTGCTGCATGCTCCTGAGCAGGTCTGGGTGACTCAGAAGTTATGTCTGAAGTTATTCTGTGGCCTCAGAAGGGCCCTCCTCTTTCAAGATTTCACTTCTAGCAATCGGGGAGGGTGTGCTGAAAACCGAGTAGCACCCCCTCCAATGCACATGAAGCAGCAATGCAAAATGCAGCTTACCCTGCTGCAGCCTTCCTCAATTGAAACCCTGTTGGAGATGCTGGATTACAACTCCCATCCTTCCCAGCCACCATGGAAACATCCGGCTGAGAAAACTGGGTTATTGGGATCCCACCCTATTGCTCCCCCAGCCAGACCAGCACCGTCTGTGGGAAAGGAGCCTGTCCCGGAGGGTGAGCCCTGGCAGAGACCAGTCTGGCTGCTCAAAGGCATCCCGAAGCCGGATCCTTGTCCTTTGCAAAGGGCTGCTTGCTTCTCCCAAAGGCCTCCACCAGAAACACGGGCAGGCGTTCTACTCTAGTCAAAGCTCTTCAGAACTCATTTGGCAGTGGAGATTGCACGCCCTGAAGGTTTTGCAACTTAAGGTGAAGTACACTGCCAGGCAGGGCACTCAAGGACTGGCAGCTGAAGGAAATTCCCTGAAAAGAAGGCAACAGCCAGGGGAGATAAGATCCTCTGATCATCCAGGGACTCATGAATTGGACTTTCTAGATCCTGAGGGAGGAGGCCTGATCCAGCAGAGTCGATGCTGGCTTCATCAGCAGGAGGTAGGGCCAGGACCGGCCTCCCTGCTGGCACACAGCAGGAAGCAGCCTCCCTCAGGGGCTCCTATGCAGTTGCTCCTCCCAACACTTTATAGCAGTGGTTCTCCACCTGTGGGTCGGGACCCCATTTGGGGTCGAACGACCATTTCACGGGGGTCGCCAAACAACGCAGTCCGCCATTTTTTCCCACTTTTCCTTAGCTGTGCTCCTCCCTTTTATTCTATTGGCTTTTGAAAGCCAATAGAATAGACTCTCTTGAATAGAGTCTAATTCTATTGGCTTTCAAAAGCCGATAGGAATTGTCTAGGCTGTCTCTGCCCTGCTGAGCCTGCCAAAAGTCCCATTCTGCAAACGGTGCTGCACCAGTTGAGTAGTCCTCGACTTACGACCGGTTGAGTAGTCCTCGACTTACGACCGGTTGGGGGTCACGGCATTAAAAAGGTTGAGAACCACTGCTTTATAGGGTCCCAGGCAGGAGCTCTCTCTCTTTCTCTCTCTCTCTCTCTCTCTCTCTCTCTCTCTCTCTCACACACGCACACACACACACACACACAGAGAGAGAGAGAGAGAGAGGGAGGGAGAGAGAGAAAGAGAGAGAGAGAAACACTATCTGAAAGGAAGGCAACCTACAGGACAGTCGCCCTCTTCTTCCCCAGTGCTGAGGGTCTATAAAGAATGCCCCTCCTCGAAGCAGGGGGGCTGGAGCCTGCTAGAAATAGCCCAAGCAGGGAATGACCGGCAAGGGAGGGGCAAAGCTCTCAGGTCCCCTGGCCTGACTCGCAGGAACCCCAGACTGCAGTGGCCATCCGACCCCCAGGACTTTCCAGGGCTGGAGTCCGTCCAAGCAAGGTGAACCCTGAGCTGGGTCAGCAGCCACACCCCAGGCGGGAGGGAGCCCTGCACAGAGCAGGCATTTCCTGGAGGAACCGGCTCCAGGGCCCCTCCCTGGGGCTGAACCGCTTCGCTTCTCCTGGCAGCCGTGGCTTGGCAGGTGTTGCTGACTTCCCTCATGCTGAAGGCGGATGTGGGGGCTCTTCCCCTCAGACGCTGCCAGTGACCTCAGGGTTCACTGCGGTGGCTGCCAGTTGCCAGCCAGGTGAGAGGTTTTCCTTGTGCGAATGTCTGATTTAGGTCCTGCTGTGTCTTGCCAATCTCATCAACACTAAACATCTCCACTGGTCAATAAAAGTACAGTAATAACAGGCCAGTCAAAGGAAGTTTGCCAATAACAAAAGAGAGCCCCCCCCCCCCGAAATGTCAGCCCTTAAGAGTCCTGACAAAAGAACTGTAAAATGTTAAACGGAAAACATTTGAACTGATTATCCGTTTGGGTCTAAGGACACTTTGACTTTTATAACGCTACACCTTGGCACTGCCTGGGCCAAGAGCTAAATTGCCCTGAGCCAGAATCATGGAAGACATCGAACAAAGTCATCAAAGGAACACCCGGATTAAAGGAAAATTTGTCCAGATTGAAGTTGATGAAAGTACACATCCAGCCTGTTCCTAGAAGAAGGTCTTCTTTTCAGTTTGCATTGCCATCTTCATCTACACCTTTCTGCTTACGGTACATAGAAGCAGCCAAGACCACATGCAACAATAAGAGTTGAGGAAACTCCATGTGGGGCCCGCATAATTTGTTTCTTCTCAAGGTGGTTTCTGTTTCCATAATGGAAATGATGACTTCTTGTTCACCCCAGGAAGCAGAGAGGGGAACTCTCTTACTTCTAGAGTTGTCTCATTTGGCCCTGCTTCTCCCTCCCTCCCTCCCTCTTTCTCCTTGTGTGTGTGTGTGTGTGTGTGTGTAAGAAGGCGACTTGCAGAACAATGCCTCCTTGCACACAGAGGAAAAGCTCCTCCTTTGGCTGTGAAGGGAGAGGGTGAAGGCTGGGCAGGCCGAGGACCTTCCTAAGGGTGCATTCAAATGCCCGACTGTGCTAAGAAAGGGTTCCCAAGGGCGCAAGTGGGGGAAAGAAGCAGGGGGAGGAACTGCTCGCATGGGACCCGCATCCTCCAGAACATTCACACCTTTGGAGAGTAAGGCTTCTGTTCTGGGCATTTTTATCTAAACAAATAAGTACAACTCTTCAGAAAGAAGTAGGCCAAGTCTCAAAGGCTGACCATGGGCTCAGACAATGGGAGGGCCGAGCACATTTGGGGGTCCCAGAGGCCGCAAGAAGAGGTGGGTCCCTTCTGGCCCCTGGCAAAGGTCGGGTCCTTCCAGGAGGAGGAGATGCCTGCTGCCCCAACGAGGGCTGCAAGGTTTCTGCCTGCGCCAAGCACCCCCACCGGGGCCAAGTCCAGCTTTTTTCACCCCCTTTCTTGGCAAAGCAATTCAGCTAAACAGGAGCTTTGGGGGGGGGGGATGAATGGGGTGAATTAATCAAAGGCCCTGAAAATTCAAACAGTTACAGGACACCTGAACCCCGCGGAGTTTCGCTCCTGATCAGGAAGTTTGAAAGAGCTGAACCGGCGGGGCGGGGGGGGGGGAGCGCGGCAGGTGCGGCCGCAAATGAAACTCGCCCATTCGCCTTCCAGGGATCGGGAGGCTGAAATCCGGCAGGGGGGGGGGGAATCGAGGGGATCCCACCTCGGCGGCCGTTTCTCGGGCGCCTGAAGAAGGCCGTCCGCGGAAGGAAGGGCCGAGCGGGGCTCCGGGGCTCGTCGCGCCCGCGGGAAGGGCGGCCAGGCAGCCCCGGTGAGGCTTTCCTCCGCGCGACCCCCGTCCGCCCGCCCCGCTTTCCGGCAACTTTCGCTAAGCGAGGCCCCCCCTCCGCCTCCGGGCCGCGGTCCGGCCGTGCCCCGGCTCGCCGCCCCCCCCGCGCTGCCGCCCCTCGCCTTTGAAGACGAAGTTGTAGTCGTCGGCCGCCGCCGCCGCCGCCTCCTTCGCCTTCGCCATGGCTGGACGCGCCGCTGCGGCTGCTGCTCTGCGGGCGGGCGGGCGGGCTGGCGGGGCGGCGCTCACCTGGGGGCGGGGCCGGCGGCAGGTGAGGCGGGCGGGCTCCGGGGCGAGCCCGCGCCCTCGGGGGCCGGGGAGACGGGCCGGCGGGACCGGGGGCCGCCGCTTCCTTGGCTCCGCCGTCGGGCTTTCGCCGGGGGCGGCTCGGGTGCTCCTTTGCGAAGCTGGCCGCCGCCAAGCGGAGCATCGCGCCCGAGGCGGGTCGGCGGCGCCTCGGCTTCCAAAGCCGGGTCGGCGCGGCGGGCTGTGGCCGAAGGAGCCCCGGCGCTCTCCGCGTGGCCGAGCCCCGTTTTCAGCCCTGCCCAGACGGCCGGCGCCGGTCGGAGAGCTCGCTCCGGGCGGCCTCGGCCGGCGGCGGCGGCGAGCGCGCTTCTTGGGCCCCCCGGCAGCGGGAGTGCCGAGCGGCTCGGAGGGCGAGGGCGGCAGCGACCCCGGCCGGGCTGGGCCGCCGCAGCTGAGCTCCTCCTGCGATCCTCGCCGCGGGGCTGGGCGAAGCCCCGGGCGGGAAGCGAAGCCTCCGGTGTGGGACTCATCAGCGGAGGGACGCCCTGCAGACCCAAAGGGCGCCTGTGGCCGTGGTTACAACAAGCCCGCCCGGTAGGCCTGTGGGCTGACTCGGCTGCCCCACCTTGGAACTGAAACGAGGCTCTTTTCTGCCTTTTTAGATCCCCCCCCCCGTCTCCGGCTGGGTGGGCTTCCTGTATCGGCGCTGAAGTTTGGGAACCCCGCAAAATCTTTTTACCGATTACATTGTACAGATTGAATCTATCGAAAAATGTTACTGACAGAATATTATAAAGGGAGAAGGCTTGGAAAACTCCATCATACTCAAAGTAACTCCCAAATAATTGGGCAAATTATCTCCTTTCATGCCCCTTGGCGGAAGAAATGACCAATTGTCTTTCATCTCTGCCAATCTATATCAGTGCTTTTCAACCCTGGAAACTTTAAGATTTGTGGACTTCAACTCCCAGAATTCCCCAGCCAGCCATGTTGGTAGAGAACATTTGCTGACATCCTAGTGGTGCAAATCAGGTGCAGTCACATTCTCCCGGGGCAAACCATTTGAGCAGAGCTGGTGAGCTCTGGATGATGGCCTTTCCTGTCGGAAGCAGCTCTTGGCCTTTCTAGGCCACAGGAAGCTGACTCTGAAGGGACTCCTTTGGCAGTGATGCCCCAAGCAGGCTGAGCCTCCCCGTTCATCTGGCCAGACCAGAAGGGAGGACTGCGGAGGTGGTGACCTCAGCTCGGCTGCAATGTGGAAAGGCAAGCTGAGGTGGGGCTGGCAGGCCTCCAGAGTCACCTTGTTTACTTTTAAGCTCAAAACACTTGGAGATGCTCAAGGGTGTCCACAAGGTGTTGGTTAAAAAACTTGAGAAGGTGGCCAGGGATGGCATGATTAAAGCGTGACCTGCTTTTTTGATGTACAGCCTGTGGCAAAATGCATTTTAAAAAGTGGAACTTTGATTATACTGTTGTCAAGATCTGAGACGGGACTCGCCCCAAGAAGATCCCTGAGCGGGAAGTGAGAGGAGACTGGCTCTCTGGGTGGGCAGACCTGCCACCCTCTTCCCCAACCTGACGCTGACCCTGCTCTCACAGTCCCTGGCCAGTAGAGAACGTCTTCAGCTACCGCAGGGCTTTGTTCTTTTCCACTCCCAGGCCCCATATTCATCTAGTTTACTGGGGGTGAACAAAAGGCAATGAAAGCATCCGTGGCAATGCATACAAAAACAGAGCTTTCAGATTCGTAAGAGTGATAAGATAAGCACGGCATCCTCATTTGATCAGTGGATGCCTTCTCAAGAGTGGGAAATATCATTTTATCACTTTGGGGAAAGTGGCTTGACCATGCAAGGTGAAAGGATTCAGCTGTGGTTGATTCCAAGCAGGGCCTCTCCTGGGACAGCCCTTCCGCACTCAGGAAATCCAGCTTACAACCCTCTGGGAACATCCAAACTTTGAGGGATTTAAATGCATCTTGGATTTAATATGGAAATCTCTGGCTAGTCGGTGCGGTTTGCCCAATCAGGAGCCGCGTGTGGCCTTTTAGAAAGCTTTGGCGTGCGCTGGAGAGTTGGGGTTCCTCCCCCCCCCAAACTAAGGAACTGTTGCTACTTTGATTTTTTCCTCAGCCTGAAATACGGATTGGTATTTGTGTGATTAGTAAGAAGAGGGCAGGCCAGCACACCTTGTATAATTCCGTTTTTTTGCCACAGCCCTTGCCATCCGTGGCTGATGGGAACTAAGCCCCCCGAGTGGTAGGAGGCTTGGTGTATCCTAGTGAGGGCGAATGTGACCCCTGGCATCAACAGGCCATGGGGTGGCCACTCCTGAAACACCCTCTTTGAAGACCAAGGGTTCCCAAGGATGCCATCTAGTTATGCAAAGCCCCGGGTGGGCAAAAGGCACATTTGGGACTCCAGCTGGAGACTCTGGAAGACCTGCAGGGTCTGGAGCCAGGACTGAGTTAACCCTGCTTGCTGTTAGGGGGTGATGTGCCCCCACTCCCGCCCACAGCCAGGTTCCTTGAACTGAGTTGTGATGAAGCCTCTGCACTGGCAGAACCTCTAAGAACTGCCAGTCATTTGCAGAGGCGCTCTGGGAAACTAGAACGCAGCCCGTTGCCAGCTGCATCTGTGCCCAGTTCTATCGCTTTTAGGGATCTTGGAACGTCACATGCAAGCTGGCGACACTCAGCCATGTATGTGTCCGCCACCACTGAACCGGGTGTGGCTGTGCATGACTGACCAAGGCTGGAAGACAGCCAGTTGACTGAGAAGCTGATCTTGGTATGAATGGGGCTGTTCGAATGGGCAGGTCCCAGTTCCAGGGCTAGGCATCATGTGCTGGGGGGTGTGGGGGTGTGGCCAGGCAGAACAGGCACCAGGGCAAAGCAGTGGGCAAAGCCGGTTCTCTGAAAAGCTGACATTGCTGGCCAAGAATATCAGCGAGCAGCTTCAGCTGGAGTGACAGTCAGTCTCCTGATCAATGCCAGCTCCTGTGCACGCTTCTGAACGCCCCCCCCCCCCGGTCGGCCAGGCTGAGCATCGAGAGGGGTGCCAGGCCGTTCCTGAGCCTCAGCAGATGACCGTGGGAGCGGCTTTTCGGGTTTTTATTTTCCACTGTTACTGTCCTATCTTTCATAGCATTATTGTAAAGCATTTTGAGATCCTGTGGGAAAACAGAAGGCTGGTCATTCAGATTTTTAAGAAATTCTATTCATAATCCTACAATGGAAAGTTTGAAAACTTTCATTGCCAATAGATAAGGACAATTCTCTGCTCCTTACCTCCTTGATGCTTTAAGGGCTTATCTGAATTAACTGAACTACCTCAGTTTTCTTTTTCTGATCCCTGCAATGATTTTAACTGCTTTGCTTTTTGTTTCAGGGGCTGGAAGAGGTTTCCAGTTAGTGCAGGAGACACCTGGAAAGCTCTTCCTATTTCTCAGTCAGCCAGAAGCTCCAGCAGAGACCTTTTGCATGGCTAGGAGCCTTTCCCAGCTTCTAGAATTGGCAGTCGAGGCTTCCGAATGACAGGAAAGGCCCTGATGAGGTGACTCAGGGCTGCCTCGCCCCCGAAGCCCGGCACAATAACACTAAGAGGAGGAAAGTGCGGCAGGTGCAGCTTCCCACCCAGTCTTGGCACTGGAAACCTCCTGAAACTCCCTCCCTTCCCATGGGCCTCTCCCTGCAACAGACCGAAGCCAACCTGATACCCTACCCGGGAAGGGGCCATTCATTCTCCAAGGAGGCCTGCAGGGCAACCAAGAGAGAATTGGGGAAGGGAGAATTTATCTCTTTCCAGCCATCTCCACTCAGGTGGGTTGGTTGAAACGGTCCAATTTGCAAGTCCAACTTTAGGACAGGCCAGCAGGACCCCTCCCTCCCACCCACCCCCTACTTGAAGGCTCCCCCAAGGCACAGCGTCAGCCCTTCCCTGGGAAAAGGGTCCTTTTGACCAGAGATGCCCAGCAAGCGCCAAGGTAGGCAGATCAGAAATCAAGCAAGACGAGCAAGGAGTGGAATCATCTTCCTGACTCTTGGGCGATACCAAGTGGTGGCCTTCAGCACTGCCTTCAAACTTAAGAACCCCAGCTAAAGAGGGGCTCCTGCCCTTCCCCAGGATATATAGTCCTCGACTTATGACCAAAATTGGGACCAGAATTTCCATTGCTAAGCAAGTCACACCTGAGTTTAATGGCCTTTTTTGCCAGGGCTGTTAAGCAAATCTCTAGTTCTCATCTCGTATTTTTCAGAGAGGAGCTCCGGGCGGTGATTGTGTGGTTGTTACCTGAGTCCATCTTTATCCACCGACTTTGCTTGTCAGAAGCCGGCTGGGAAGGTGGCAAATAGTGGGGATGCTGCAAGGATCGTCACCTTTTCAGCAACATTGTAACAGTGGCTGAATGAATGGTTATAAGTCGAGGACTATCTGGGCTTTGGACAATTCCCTCCTGCCATGCCAGGGTCCACTTCCTTCTTTCTGGAACGATGGCTCCACTTCTCTCCCCTTTGGACAGCTCTGGGCAGCAGGTCTGCCCTCGAGGTCATCCCAGCCCCTTTCATCCATCCTCAGGCAGAGAAAAGCTGCTAAGAACATCCTTTATTCCTTTCCCCGGGTCCCCCTCATGTTTGAAAGAAGCACCCGGTCGGTGCTCAGCGCCCTTCAAGGTCTGCTGGGAGGCAGGACTCGCCAGACTGAGAAGCCGACCAGGCCCCATCAGGAAGCAGCCACCTGGGCCAGGGGGTCTTCGAGGTACTGCACCAAGGCTTGAGCCTGCAGAGAGAAGGGAAAATGCTGGCCTGTCAAGAGAGCCTTCCAGCCAAACTCGGCTTCAACTCGGCTGCAGGTCTCTGCTGTAGTTTTGTAAGAGGCTCTCCTGCTCATGGGAAGAAAGAGAGAACACCTATTCTAAAGTTTCCTGGAGGGATTTACCCAATTTTAAAACATGGAATGGCTAACTGCATTTTAGTCT